CCCCGGGTCTCCCCCACAGAATAAACTAGGGATACACCTTGCATAACAATTTTTAGGAGAAAAAAAACCTCATCTGTTCTTCTTCTACACAAAAGGAAAGACTAAAACCCGTTTAGCCCCTATTCCCGCAAGCAGTTCGTAGATTTTCATTAATAATCACAACTGCGGAATAAAATTGCCAATGTTCAACAGAGCTCAACAAAGATGGGGGCATAAAAACACTTACATTTTAATAAAATAACAAATGTCAGGTCTCGACAACATAATTAAATAGCCTAAACATCTTCTCAATCTGTTCTCCCTCTACACAGGAGCCGACAGAGATGTGTAACGTAACTCTGGTATTTGCGAGCACTTTGAGTTCTTCGTTCATCATGACAATTACCGCATGAAACTTGCACGTTCAAAATCTTCTGAGTTCAATCAAAGTCAAATCTCTAGGCCTACAACATTTAGCTGAGTAGGACTTTTATGGCGCTTACAGCACAAATAGTCCATAAAATATAAGTGCGATAACAAGAGGTGGTACTTCTAGAGAGTAAAGTACAACGAAAAGAGGGAGGAGAGACTAGGACGATTAATGATAGGAAATGATAGGAAAGAAGGAGCTACAAACCACACCAGAACACAGGCCAACCACCCACTTACAGCATTCAACAACCCAGTCCACTACATAAACTTACACTTAAAGAATTTCAAGTTGGTACCTTGTCGAATATCGGCACAACCTAAAAAATACTCGATGCTTAAAATCCTAGCGCAATTTTCCAACATCAGGTTTAAGAAAACTTCTTTGAACTACCCTTTGACAATAAAAGGATTTTGTTCAAACCTGCGAAATTTTCCGCTCCCCACAACCCGTTTTTCCTCTCTTTGCAGGAACCGAAAAAGATGTGTAGCTCTGGCAGCCTCTGCAAAAACTTTGTCTATTTCATCCTGGTGGTGACGGACATTGCCGACTTTATCAGCGATTGGCTCTTCTTTGTGGATGTTTACATTGTGGAGGAGGGCCTGGTCTACGGACCCGTCCAGCCCGCTGCTAAATGGAGTCTGCTCGCCTTCTCCATTGTGGGGACTATCACTTTTATCATGGAGGTGAGGGAGAGAGAGAGAGAGAGAGAGAGGGGGGGGGAGAGAGAGAGAGAGAGAGAGAGAGAGAGAGAGAGAATTCTCTGAGAAATTGAACATGAAATGGATCGCCTG